TTAGAGTGTCGAACAGGCATCGACTCTAGAGTAGCACAGAGTAGCTTAGAGTGTCTCGCCGTCCAGTATGTGCCCCAAAAAGTAGTTTCTATACGTTGTAGAGTAGCACAGAGCAGCGTAGAGTGGGTCAGTCGAGTAGCTTGAGTGCCGAAAACAGGCGTCGACTCTAGAGTAGCGCCGGCTTCCACCAGAAAAAAAAAGGAAAAAAAAAGAACCGTGGCTCAGTCGAGTAGTGTCGAACAGGCGTCGACTCTAACTCTCCGTCCAGTATGTGCCCCAGAAAGAAGTTTCTATGCGTTGTAGCGGCGCTGGACCGGTAGCTGGTGGCGCGTCACGCGCAGCCCCAGTACCTCGTGCAGTAGGGCCAGTAACGCTTCGGTACCAGCACTGGCGCATGGGCCCGGTACAGACCCTGGCGCGGAGATGCCCGCGACGGCTTAACTTCTAAAACCAAACAATCAGCAGACGATCGGGACCGTCGCCGAGTGTAAAATCGCAGGGCCCCGATCGTCTGATTGTCACAGGCCAAAAAATAGCGATAGGTATATACGTAGGGAAATAGGGGGAAGCCTCTTTGCCCTGGGCACCAGAAATAATTTCTCCCTCCCTCATCTGCCCCTACACACCCTATCCCAACTGTCCCAAGTGTCATCCGCCTCCCTCCCCACTTGCCATCCCTGTCCTCCCTAATCAGAGACCATTCCCAACCCACCAATCCCCGTGTGGAGAGAAAAAGAGCTGGACTTGCTGCTGCTTGAAAGCTACTACCTTCCTTTGCCTGGAATTAGTCTGCTCCATATCATTGCAGATCCACCATTGAGAGTCCATGGGGCAGGAAGGGGTCAGGATTCCACGGAGGGGCGCCACGGTATTGCAGGGTCTGTCCTGGTCCATTCCTCGAAGCAAAGGGCGTAATCTCTTCTTGCCTCACCTTGGCTGTGCTCCGGGTGGGTCTCTTCGTCCCGTCGAATGTAAGCTATCCAACCCCCTTGCTCAGTCCCCAACCAGTCACCTGATAATTTTTTGATAGCTTGAAATATGTCCTTTTCTGTGCAAAAACTATCTAACAGTCATTTCACCCTCAACCAATGTGCCCGCAGTTCATCTTGGACATATTGTTTAATCATCTAAGTAACTTCTTCTCCCTCTATTCTGACGCCTTCAATGGCGTGGATACGCTGTTTTCTCCAGAGTGCCCAAATGATTGCCCTCCTCCCTGTCTTAAACATGTTACCTTCAAATGCGTTGCACGTGGGGAAGGACCAGGTTTCCCATAGGACTGCTCTCCAGTCCCAAGGCCACTGGGATTCAGTGCCTAGCTGTCTCCAGACTGTGTCCCACCAGCGGCAGGTAAGAACTGCCCCAGGGCACTGCATGGAAAATGTGTTCTATTGTCTCGGGAATCTTACGGTGGGGGTGGGAGGCCAGGCAGGACTTCCACCATGGCACTGGCAAACCCTTTCGTTCCAACTACGTCTGGTCTATTAATCAATTGTTTGTTGGGAGGCAGCGGTGCTCAATCTGCCATTGCAAGGAGACTAATTTTCCAGCTTTGGCCTTTGTGGCCGTGAACCATCGAATGGGGTTAACAGCATCCCACCCCACGTTCAGGTGGGACATCCACCGTTCCCTCGCCATCTCCTTCAAGTTGAGTTTTGGTCGCAGCAGGCGGTATGTAGATTTCACTGAGAGGGTAAATAATTTATTGCTTGCATCCGGACGTAATCTGCACTTTGAGGTCCATTGCCACTCCTCCGGGTCCAAGGGGAGTTCTGCGATCCAGGTTTCCGGGGGGAACCCTACCCAGTTGTCTTGCGTCCGACGCACCCGGATTCCGTGCAGATCTGTCTTCTTCCACCATCTCAGAATATCTGGATGATATCTCCTGAGCCGGTTGTCCTCTTTGCCGTGGAAGAGGTTCACCAGCACTTCATGGGTACCAATCACGACCACACTCCCCACACTCTCCGTTCCGTGTCCTCGGGAATTGCTACCCAATCTCTCTCTTTCAATTGCGGACCCTTATGTAAAATGCGCACCCAATCTAAAGGGACTGCAAAGATCAGCTCTTCCAGATTTTCTTCGATGTTGTGGCAGTGGCTCAGGAAAGTTTTCAGTTGATCAGTCGTTTACATTGGAACAAACATATTCACAATCCTAAAAAAGGTGGTCCTCTGAGGAAGCTGGAAAAGGAGATGTCAGGAAACGATAGACAAAACAACAATGTCCGGCTTGAGCCCTAATACAGAGTCAGGTGGAAACAGAAGTAACAGTCCAGTGAGGAAAAACAAGCAGGGGACAGGGAAATAAACCGCACAAAGCTCATCAGGTCATATTAAGAGACTTCAAAAAAAACTGCCTTTCCGGCTGAAGGGTGAATCGCATGAACCCATAAGGGAACAATCATCTCTCAGAATGTGGCACAGAAGAACAGAGCAATACTCAGACAATATGCGGAGAATAGCACATCACTTTGGGGAAACGCTGAAAGTATATTCCTGAGAAGCAGGTAACCACTGCTACAACCCTAGGCAGCAGTATCCAGTATCCTCAGAGTAGAATCGTCAGGGCAAATAAGATAGGAGACAAGGTAAGAAAACAGCAGGGTTGGGGGCATCAGACAAAGACCTGTGTGTAGTCGAATACATCGAGGACATTCTTTGAAGGGGTGACAGTTCACAGAAGTGGTCCTATAAAATTTTAGAGCAAAGCTTCTTTGACGCTGGGCCGGGTTCCCAGCCATGTTGCTCCCCACGAATAGATTGGAGCATCGTCCTTGAAAAAGGAAAAAAGGCAACACAAAGCAAGGACGAGCAGTGCGAAGAGTTGAAACTCGCCCAGGCGTCGAGTGGGTGAGATGTTGTGCAAGGGATGATGGGCCCGATTTCTGACCTTTGCCTTGCCGCACTTTGCCTTATGGCCTTTTGCCATTCTGCCCTTTGGATTTCTACCTCGTTTTTCTGTGCTGGTCGCCTGGTCAATTAGCTTCCCTTTTGCCTAGCCGCTTTTCACATTGCTGTGTTTCGCCTTGCTACCTTGTGCTGTTTGTATTGCTGCCTTGTGCTATTCGTCTTGCTGACCTTTAGCTTGCTACCTTGTGCCGATTGCTTTGCTGCCTCACTGCTGTGCCACTTTATCGTGTCTCCCTATTGCTTACCTTTCACGAGTTGGTCGTCCTTCATTCTTCCTCGCTTTTTGTTTTTCACGTGACATTGTTTGCGTTCCTTTCACAGGCATAGATGTCTGCTGGCTCCTGTTCGAGTGTCGTTCGAAGGCAAACTGTCTGACGACAGCTGCTGTGGTTCGATTGCAGAAAGTCTTGTCACCCCCAAACAACAGCCAGAGTTAGCATCACTTCTTTCCCCCAAGCAAACGGCTAACACAGAAAGAGACACTACGGAAGACACAGCAGAGTGCATCGGTGTGTAGCACTGGGTACGGGCATGTTGCATGACCCATCAACACAATAATAACAAGTCCGAGATCCCACACGAACAATAGCAAAAAGGCGGCACGCTGCATACACCACCGCCACTAGCAACTTCCATACCTAATGTCAGATGCCATACACATCGACAGGCGGTGACAGCCACCCCAACCCATGGCTCGGGGCCACTAGCCATTCCCAACCTTCTGTTGGACAACCCCATGACCTTCATTTCAGCCTTGTTGCATACCATTGATCATGCCAACCACGCAGCTAAATCAAGTGCCAACCACGCAGCTAAATCAAGTGCAAAGAACCCAGTCAAGTCCGCACAGAACAGTTCAGGGGTCGCAACTTTTTGTCCAAGCCCAGATTCACAGGCCAAAAATCACGTCCCTTGCGCCAGAAGGGTCTCAGGAAAGTCCTCTGGTGAACAGGTGCAGGGTCAAGGGTCAAATGAAGCAACCCATGCCCCCAGGATGAGGTAGTTCACTTCTTTGAAAATTAGGAGTCAGGCCAACTCCAGAAAAGCAGTCTTTCGAGACAGAGATTTCTCAGGAGTCGACCACTGCCACAGACCTGATGGACATCAAAGGCCGTCTGGATTGTTCCAGAGGTTTCCAAGGCCCAATGGGTCCACGCACGCACTAGTTGACAGCAAATCTGGGCCATCCAGATCAGGAAATCTCAGCCACACGAGGAAGCAAATCTGCCAGCTATTTTGTCTGGAGAAAGGTTTGAATATGAGCCTCGTAATCGCACAATGTGCTGGAACACCTCGGAAGATGAGAAGTATCTAAGTGGGTGGCATACATTGGGACAAGTAGGTTATCAGCAGGAAACCACACCCCCACATTAAAAAGAGAGAGAGAGAGAGAGAGAGAGAGAGAGAGAGAGAGAGAGAGAGAGAGAGAGAGAGAGAGAGAGAGAGAGAGAGA